TCGCGGCCACACCCACGACGCCAGCAGCAACGAGGGAACACGCGGCGCTGGCGTTGAAGCCCGAGCTCGCGCCGCTCTCGACGCGTGGCTGAGAGATGGAAGCACGGAGAGCCGGTGAAGGGCCGTGAGCCGCCGCGGCGGGGACGCCCACAAAGCAGGACACGGAATCGCACAGCGCCATGACGTCAACAGCCAAAGGTCTCTGACGAGGTTCCAAGATCGTGCAGGAGTGGTCACGAAGCACTCGAGCCTTGCGCCAAAATGGCTATGGAGGCATCTTGGGCGCATCTTGGTGTCCTCATTGGAACCCTCTTGGGCCGTCTCGGGGCTCTATTGAGTCGCCTTGGGGCCCTCGTGGGGGCCCATTGAGCCGCCTTGGACGGCCGTCCTGGGCCGTCGGAAGCCCGAGAAGGCGGGAACCCTACAGACCTTCCAAAGCCTCAGGAAATCAAATATGGCGGGTCTCCTAGAGCCCTCGCGGGGTTTGCCTCGAGGGCGAGGACGAGGAGGAGGAGGAGGCGGGAAGCAGGGAGGAAAACAGTGAATGGTGGCAATTGGCGCCTTAAGGTCTTGAAAGTCTGAGTTGTGGAGGTAGGGTTGGCACCCCTCTCTACGGCCATCTTTGTTGGCCGAGGGACCGTCGGGAGAGCCTCGGCCCCCTCCATTGGCAACTGACGCCGTAATGTACTGGTGTATTGGTGGGGGAAGGCGACCCAAGCGGCCCCGATGATGGCAGCCGCAAGGGTGATAGCCTTATCATGGTCCTCACTGGTGAAACCTATGACTGGTACAATACTTACGCGTCTAATGCAATACTTCCGCGTCCTTCCGCGAATCCCCCGCCGCCGACCGCAAAGAAATCCCGTCAAACGTAGCCCCACGGTTGTTCAACGGCGGGTGGACCGGCACGCCCAAAATGAACGGATGGACCAGTACGCCCGAAGGCACGGAGATCAAACAGCGGATGGGCCGGCACACCCAAACACACACACAAACACGACCACACACCCCGATCAGAAAAGCAGAAATATAAAACACACACG